AATTGTTTAGGAATTGGGAATTAACACTCAACAACAACAACAACCACAACAGCAACGACGCCAATCATTCTAAGACTGTTCGTTCCGATCTGCTCACATGCTAATCAATACGTATATCCCAAACCCTCGGTACCCGCCCTCGTCGTCTTACCCCCTTGGGGGTACATCTTCCTTCCCTGCCACGCGTGTTTAGTGCAGCCGCTGAGACAAGGGAAGAGAAGACGGGTAAAAGAGGGAGAGATAATAGTGGAGCATGAGAGAAATTAGCAGGAGGGGGGCAAGGAGCAGACAACAAGTGGTAGAACCGGAAGGGCAGATCGGGTGTGCAGACCCATAGCAGGCAGGTCGGGAAGGCGGGCCCAGGCGACGAGGTCGAGCAGTCGGGTTGCTGAAGCGTGGGTCCTGCATGAATCGCGAGGCAGTCTCGAGCGATAGCGCGATTCCTAAGTAAATCGTGAGAAAAGCCAGCGTGGGCCAAGAAGGGCATAAAATCCGAGGCCACAGAGGGCAGCGACGGGGCCGCTGAGGGCAGCACCGGGGCCACGAAGGGCAACGATGGGGGCCACAAAGGGCGACAGCGGGGCCACTGAGGGTAGCACCGGGGCCACGGCAGCGAGGGGGTAATGAAGGGCGACAGCGGGGCTACGAAGGGCATGCGTATGGGGCCACGACGGGCGCGTGCGAGCGGGGGCCACGAAGGGCATAGAATGCCGGGCCACAAAGGGCAGCGACGGAGCCACTGAGGGCAGCAACGGGGCCACGAAGGGCAGCGAGCGAAGGCAACCGCGGAACCAGTACGGGCAGCGAGGGGCATCGAAGGAGGGCGAAGGGCAGCGAGCGGCGACTGCAGTCATTAACGGGCTGGTCGGGCGGGCAGGCCCCGACGGGCGGGTCGAGCAGGCGGGCCGTTGAAGCGTGAGTCCTGCTTGAACCGCCAGGCAAGATGTAGCGGGAGCGCGATTCCTGGGTGTCGAGGACTGGTGTCTGAATAAATTGCGAGGAACTGTCAAGCGAAGTGCTTCGGTGGGAAGTTGCGAGGAAGTCCGAAGCGAGAACGCGACTCTGCAATACATTCTCACGAAATATCAAGCGGGAGCCGCGATTCGGTGGTAAATTGCAAGGAAGTCCCAAGCGAGACCGTGATTCTTCAATACATTGTGAGGAAATATCAAGCGGGAGCCGATGTTGTTGCAAACCGAGGGCCAACGACACAGTTTGAGCCCAAGACTTCCCCTGATAAGCACCAAGAATTGGGTGCGAGCCATGGGAGGGGCACTTAAATTGAAGAAAACAAGGTGCACCGGGCGGGGGGGATCAACAATGATTATTCTTCAGAAATGAGAGTGCAACAACAACAACCACAACAACAGCAACAACAACAACAACAACAACGCGACAAGCAGAATTCCTACCACGATTCCCTTATTCAGCCACGCACCCAGGGACAATGAATGACCGCTGGGCAACCTCACTCTGGTAAACCGATACATATGTATATATACAAGGCTGCAGTGGCGCTTCGCGCCATGCACCTTGGTCCTTGCAGTTTGGTATGCAGGCGGAATGGCAGGAAGGTCAGGCCGACAATTTAACGATAACTCCTGGTTACCTTTTCTGGCATCGCCGCTATAATAATGTTATTCGTTATCCTTCCTCCACGCTTCTTTTTCCTTATTTTCAAATGCCCTGCGCATTCTCCCCATCCTCCTCATCTCTTTTTTGCGGAGGCTCCTCCTTGGAGAGCCTCGAGGGGCCTCACAAAAATTGTTTCAGGCTTTCTTAAGGCCTTCTGGAGACCTCCTGGGCGTATTCTGGGGGCCTCCGGGGGCTTCCTCGGGCCACCCTGCCTCCAACCGCGGTCTCCCTGAACGACCGGGTCACGATTTGGAATGCTTCGGAGGGTGTCGTTGGGCCATCTTGGGCCGCCATGGGGCTCTCTGAGGGCCCTCTCTTTTGGGGCTCGACCCGTGTTGTGACGTTTTGGGGCTCTCTTGGGCTGCCTGGAAACCCTTACGGATGGTTGTGGGGCGATTTTGGAGCCTCCCAGGCGGCTTCGGACGCCCAGAAGACTGCCGTCTTGGAGCGTCGGGAAGCCGAAAAGAGGAGAACCCTAAACTGGCCAACAGAAAATCAATGATTTTTGCCTCGGGGGGCCTTCTTGGGAGTGCTCTTGGAGGCCTCTTTGGGGCCGTCCTGGAGGCCTCTTGGGCCATCTTGAGGTCACGTCGGTCACTCTTGGAGCGCTCTTGTGCTGTCTTGGGGGTCTCTGGGACGTCTCCGATGACCCCCCTGATTGCCCTAGGTGTGCTGGGAAGGCTGGGCAAAACGCCATGTGAGGCCCGGTGGCCGCTTCGAGGCCCGTCTGGAGGGTCCCAAAGCCCCAGATCCCGGGGGGGGGGTGATGGGTTTTCCCCCCGCCCAGGCTTATAAAAATATAAGAAGAGGAATAGACTCAACCACCTTGGACTCGGGGCGGAGAGATGGGAGAGGGGTAGACACCAAGCTGTCCTCGCCATCATCCGCCATGACCGCAATCGCCATCCCTTATCAGAGACAACGCCCACCACCGCTCGTTGCGCGGACTACCAGACCACCCCCTCATCTACACTTCGTGGAAGAGACCACCACGTACGATGGCAGCCTGCGAGGAGTGAGACCACGCACGATGGCAGCCGCGGTCACGCACGGAGGACGAGTTAGTTGTCGACATCCTGCCCGGCTGACACTGTCGCAGGAGGCCGTCGACTGTACACCCACGGTGATCCTGACCAGGCCAGCCCCGGACCCTGGAGCAGCGAGCATGCCCTCCTGGCCTGACAATTGAAGGCATATCGAGACCGCCCTTGCGGCCCAGAAGCTGGCCTGCACACGGGTGCAGAAAAGCAAGACGAGTCGCAAAGGGTCTGCTCTTCCTCCTCCCCCCACCTCCTCATTCACGTGCCCATCTCTGCCTGCGGCAGGTTGGTGTCGTGACGAGCCCGGCGTTGGTTCACCGCGTGGGTCGTTCAGCGTTGAACGACCGGCGTCATGTCGATCGCAAGGTCGTCCCGTCGTGGTCGTCTCTACGCCACTGGCGACGTTCACCCTTAAACACCCATGGCAGGTCGCCGCAGCGTCGGCAGGTTACGAACCTGTCGTTCATTGGCAGCCGCTCCCTCTAGTCGCAGCTCGACTGTGCCAAGTGCACTCCATGTGAAGGGTTGGAACGGGCGGGGGGGGACACAATGCGTTCAGACCTTGCAGGGGCTGATGGCCATCTCGCTTCCTTGACGCGCTCCTGGGGCCAGTCGTACTTGCACCACAAGACATGCCTCGAAGGTATTCGATCGTGCACGGTCCTGCGGTCAAGAACTCTTGCTTGGCGTGCCGCTGCGGCAGAGCCGGCGTCGCGCCACGGCCTCCAAGCTGACAGCGTGTCGCTCCGCTCCGCGCGGCGGGAGGCTGGGAAAAGCTCGGGACGCTGGCGCTCGGGGACTGGGAAGTGGTTGGAGCGTGCCGCGCCGAGGCGCGACACCCAGAGCAAACCATCCTGACCGCATCTTCTCCTCTTACCCTCCCCCTCTTGCAGCACCCACCCAAACCACTGACTACGGCGGGGGACCGACCACAAGCAACCTTCCACAAGAAGCCCAACCCTGAGACCCCAGGACGTCCATGGATCCTTGGTGCAGGAACGTCACCACTCTTTCCAGCGCAAAATCATCGACCCCCCCAAAAAAACCCGGGGGACACTGGAGGCGAGCAGAGTGTTTCTTGGCATGGGCCTCTTTTCTGCGGCCGCGAGCTGCGGTCCCCTCGGCGCCCCCCTGGGAGACCGCCGCGCCGCCCGCACCCGGCAACGGCCGCGAAACTGCTGGAGGTCATGCCGGGCGCCACGGCGGCGCCGCGGCTCGCCTGCGCTCCCGGGAGGGGCAGCAGGAGAAGAGAGGGCGGCATTCACATGTTTTGATGGGCTTGTTTGCCACCACCACCACCAGAAGTTGAACGGGGGAGGGGGCCCTCCTACTCCTCCTCCTTGAACTCCTCTTCCTCCTCCTCCTCCTCCTCCTCCTCCTCCTCCTCCTCCTCCTCTCCGTCCTCCTCCTCCTCGTCCTCCTCCTCCTCCTTCCCCCCTCCAACTTATGGTGGTTGTGGTGGAAAACAGGCCCATCATGTTTGGCCGCGGCGCCAGCGAACGCCCTGCACGGTCCAAGCTTTGGAAGGGTCGCTGTATGGTGCGAGTTTACACGAGAACATGGGAGGCAAGCGGAAGAGGGCGGCCGCGGAAGACGGCACGCACTTAAAGCCCTGCGAAAACGATGTCGAGGAGGGCAAGGTTTGTGGTTTTGGGCCGCAAGCGGCTCAATGGGTACTGTCTCGGAAGAGAACATGAGCTGTCTCGACACATGCTTCCGGAGGTCCACGCGCAGTTCTTGGATCAGCGCTGGGTCCCCTTTGGTGGCGCCTCCTGCGCGCCCCTGGCGCGCTCCCTGCACCAGGGAGGGGGGGGTCCAGGAGGAAGAAGAAGAATACGCAGAAGAACAAGGGTCCAGAGATGGGGAGACGACACGAGGACGGGAATAGCAGAGACGGCAGCGAGGGAGAAGAGGTATAATAGGCAACAACGAAAGACTGGCAGAAACCACGAGGAGGACAGCCGACGACGTGGCGACACATCAAGAGAAGAGGCAAGAACCCGTCTAGTCGCGAACAGTGGTTCGAACATCTCTTGAGATGAGTCCCCGCTCCAGAGGGGAAGGCGACGCAGACGCACAAGGCGGGCCCGCCGAAGGCTCAGCACAAGATGTAGTTAGAGGATGCGCCAGATGCTGGAAGAAAGGAGCCAGGGAACGGTGTACAGCAGGCTTGTGGTAAGATGTAGAGGCGCTGGGACTGGAAATGGAATGGTAGCGGCATTCAGAGGCATCGACAATGATCGTTGACGACAAAAGAACATTGTGGCTTGTGGCGGGCGCAGTGGCAACGGGAGCGGTTACGATCGACAAGGCTGCAGGGATGGTGGCAGCCGTGGTGGTAATCATCAACAGCGGCTGAGCTGATAGTCGCGCGACTGATGGTGGCAGTGGTAGTCGCGGCGGTAATTTGCTGCGGTGGGGGTCGCAGGGCCGAGAGTGGTAGCGAGGAATCGCGGCGGACGAACGTATAGAATTACTTCGGGCACACGCGAGAGCCTCACCAGCTCTTGCCGTCGCAGGATGGGCGGCGGAGTGAAACATCACTATAAGTGAGGCAGGGTGAGGCCATGTGCAAGCGCTGGGCCCCGCAGGACATCAGGAACACAAGTTGAGGCCATGCACAAGCGCTTGGCCTCGCGCGCGCTCAATTACGGGGGATACCTTGTGTATGGGAAGAAGCAAGGAAGGGAGGAAGACCCGCCTCAGGCCCGAGACGGGCGGGACGCCTCTGGCGAGTACCAGGACGACTGCAGACCAATGGGAAGAATTGCCCGAAAACAAACATCTGGCGCGCCGATCTCCTTGATGCGTGGGCCCCCGCACCCCTCGACCCATTCCCAAAGACTGGCGTTGAATCCCGAGTCGTTTGCTGACGGCCCCATGCCCCGAAACCGGCCTGCAGGGGCTCGAAACTGCGACGAACTGGCCGTCTGGATAGGCTTCGAGGCACCGGATGTTCGCGGGTGGACGAACAGCGGCATGAACACACTGCTCCGCAAACAGGAACGCCTGCCCCAGGGCAGCTGGGGAAACATCGTGCCTCCCGTTCGGCCGGCGGCAGCACGGCGGGGTTTAACACTACCAGCCGCGCTGGGGCGGGCGCTCCCGACGGCGGACAAGTTCATACGATGACTTTCCTCGCCCGCCGGGCTGAGAAGAGCACCGAGAACTGCATCAACATACCATCTCGGAGGTCCGCGCAGGTTTCTTTGGACCTGCGCTGGGCCCCCCCCTTCCTGGCGCGTGGAGCGCGCCAGGGATGGGCGCCGGTGGCGGCGCTAGGGGGGCCCAGCGCCGATCCGAGAAGTCCACGCTAACCTCCATGCCGTGTCGTAGTATTCTAAGGGCGCCCAGTGACACACACATACATGAACACAAATCCCAGGATTCCCCATATTTTCCCAAATTTTCTGGGTTGTCGTCTTTCCCCCCACTTCCCATATTTTCCCCTACTTTCCTGGGGATCGACGATTCATTGTTTCTGTGTGTCTTTTCCTCTCCTGATATTCTTCGGAAGACAGGCAAGGGAGATGAGGGGCAACGATAGGGGGCGACCAGCTCAGGGGGGTAACCAGATGGACCTGGCATAGGCGATAATGACGTCGCCGACAGATCGGCGATAGGCCCCCCCTAACGAATCCGCACGGTCCTGGGCGGGGCGGCCCATCGGACCCCTATCGGCGATGAGCGGGCGACTGCGATTATGTTGCTCCCATCGCACTGAAGGACCACATCTCAGAAATCATCCTGAGCACCCAGAACATTGTCGAAGCAGTGTCGAAGCAGTGTCGAAGCAGTGTCCCCCAGGGCCCGATGCGTGGAAACCCTCGAGTTTCGGTACTTTCTTGGTGCTCGAAATTCTCTGGTGAACAAGGCTAGAATAGGTTGGAGCAGCATCAGACTGCGAGTCGATGCAATCGATCCCCCATGAGCCTGCGCCCCCTAACGCTGCCCCTGAGGGGAGGGGAACAGCGCGGTCAGCACGCGAAGTTCGAAAACCACGGGGCCCCCGGCCTCGCGAACTGGCCCTGCCCGCCCGGCAGCGGCCGCGGCGGCAAGCCTGCCCCGTGCACGGCCTCCTCGGCCGCCCCAGGGGGCTCGGCGCCGGAGCCGGCAGCAGCGCCAGAGGGGCGGAAGCCGGTCCTTTCAGGGGACGGAGAAGGGTACAAATGAACGTTTCCGCCGTCGGGAACGCCTGCTCTACACGTAGGGAGGAGGTGGGGGCGTGGTTCCTCACGTGGAACTTAGGGGATCGGGGAAACATGTGGATCTTCAGTTCCATGACGCGGCTGGAATGTTCCCACCGTTTCCACTTAGCGGATCGGGGACTGCTCCAGGGCGGCTGGAAAGCTTGCACCCCTACCGTGCCACGTCGGGGTGCAACATTTCTTGGCCGCCCTGGGGCAGGCGTCCCCGACGGGAGAGAAGTTCGTCTTGCACCGCTCTTCACTGGGGAAGGCGTCCCCGACGGCAGAAAAGTTCATCTTACACCGTTCCCAGACCCCAGACACCATGATTCTTTCATTACGTCGACCCCTGGACCAGTTTTTCATCCTGAGTAGTTTTTTCACGGTCTCGAGGACCCCCAGCGGCCGAAAATGGCAACAAACCTCACGTCATGTTTTTTTCACTACCCGAGGGGGTCTGGCTTCTTCGTCCCCAGCGTCCTGGAGAACAAGTCGTCTGGTGGGGGGGGGCGTCCAATGATGGCCCCCTCGCCTCACCGAGCCTGGCCTGGCCAGCCCTTGGGGTCCCGGGATCGGTGGCCTCTCTGCGCCGCGCTCTGACCAGCGCCTGGACCCTGAGACCCTGCAGGCATTGCAGTTTTGTTCGAACGGGCGTGCTCGCTCGGTTTCGGGCCCCAGGACCATCACAAATCGACGTGGCTCGAAAAATGCCGGGACCGACCACAACGATGATTGAAACGAACTGGCGCTTACAACTAAAAACAAAACGAGGCCCAACGTTGCAAACGAACGCTGAAAACGAAGCCGGTGCCAAACGAAAACGAACAACGAAACGGGGCGTTTAAAGCAACAGCGAACAACGAAACGAAACAACAACGAAGTACGAAGCGAAAAACAAAACAAGGGTCCAAACCAAGCTAAACAGCGTTGTGGTCGGTCCTTGGGAAAATGCCGCAGGACCATGGGGAGTCTGGGGCTCAGGCCATGCTGTTTCGCGGTGCCGCACTCTTGTCGCACAGTCGGATCGCAGGGTCGCCGATCCTGGCCTGGCCGACCCCTGCGCCCCTTGCGGTCCAACGCCGGGCGGGCGCGTGCGCCGATGCTGTGCCCAGGATGGGCCCAGGCCAGGTTCGGTAAAGCGATCGGCTGACGCCCCCCCTGTCTGGCGCGTAGGGGCTGTCCTCCTCGTCCTCGAGAAGAAGAAACAGCGGCACAGTTCTCACTGGGATTGCTCGGAGGTTGAGGAGGGACGCGGAGGTCCTCCTCCTTCTCCTCCTCCTCCCTCCTCCACCTCCTCACTCCGCCTCCTCTCCTTCGAGAAGGAGAAAGAGGAGGCGGAGGCGGCGGAGGCGGATTCCTCGAATCGGCGCTGGACCTCCCTCCCCAGCGCGCAGAGCGAGCCAGGGGCGGCACCCGAGGCGCCGCCGGCGGGGGCCCAGCGCAGATCCAGGCAATCCCCGCGGAGGTCCGACGCTGGTGCTCTATGCCGCTTTTCCGTCTTCGATCCTGAAGGTCGATGGGCGGCAGCATCTGCGTCCTCACAGGTTGGGGCTGACGCTCCGTCGGCTGCGCGTCGACCGCCACCCGGTCCTCGGCCGGTGCCGGCTGGCCGCCGCCCTCCTGCGTCGCCAGGGAAGGGCTCGGAGACTTGGGCCGCTGTCTGGCGGCGCGAAGGAGGGGGTGGCGCGGGGGGGAGGCCTCCGAAGAAGGCGGCCCCGATCTCCGAGGGAATGCTCGCTGGCATAGGCTCTGGAAGCCGGGGAGGAGGAGAAGGAGGAGGAGGAGGACGATGAGGAGCAGGAAGAGGATAAGGATGGGGAGGGGGAGGAGGAGGACGAGGAGGAGGAGGGAGGAGGAGGACGAGGAGGAGGACGAGGAGGAGGAGGAGGAGGAGGGGGAGGAGGAGGAGGAAGAGGAGGAGGAGGAGGGGGAGGAGGAGGAGGAGGAGGAGGAGGGGGAGGAAGAGGAGGAGGGGGAGAGAGGAGGAGGCGGAGGAGGAGGGAGGAGGAGGAGGAGGAGGAGCGGCAGAAGCCCCCGGCTGGGGCCCCAGATCTGGCCAAAGAATAGTCGCGCTCCCCCCACATACCACGACAGCCCCTTAATGTCATCGCCCTCGGCCGAAAGTCCTGCCATCGCCCACATGTATCCGTGCCAGAGCAATTTCCTTGTTGTCGAGAAAAAGAAAAAACACATAAACATAAACTTGTGGCGCTCCACGCGGATTGCTTGGATTCGCCCTGGACCCCCCTCCCTGGCGCGCGGAGCGCGCCAGGGGCGGCGCCTCCCAGACGCGTATCCAAGAAATCCGCGCGGAGCGCCAACAAACTATGTCTATGTAGTTGTTTCTTCTTCGATTGTCATCTATGGCACCCGTGAACCACCCCGCCCGCCCCTTCCCCTCTCCCTGGTCACGTCACGATTCGCGCAGGCGCCGTGGGGGAATCAGCCCTTCCTGAGCACGCCCGGACGGCGCCTGCGCGAATCGTTGCGTGACCGGCCCCCTCCATCCATTGCCCCCCACGCTGGCGGGACAACCAAGGCAGCCACGAGAGGAGTGCACATTCTGCAGGCGTGTGTTGCAGCGCTCTCGGCTCGGACCCGGACGGCAGCTCGGCGCGTGCCCTTTTGAGCGGGCCCTCTGCGCACGGAGGCACGGCCCGTGGCAGGTGCGAGCTCAAGCGGGCGGCGGGGGGACCCGCCCCGCCCTGGCAGCGCGGGGGCTCCGCCCTGGCAGCCCTTCCTCGGGCGCGTGCCACTCGGGGGCCCTGGCGTCCGTGGTCCGGGCGGGCGTCTCCGTCATGGGGGGGGGGGTCTGGGAGAAGTCCTCGGTCGGAGGGCGCGACCTGGCGTCGGCAGCGTCGAGGCGACATCTGCAGGCTCTTCGACGAGGCTCGGGCGGTCATCGAAGGCATCGTTGGCCACGAGATCGGCCGCTGGGAGATCTCGCCGCGATATCGTGTACGACGACGTGCTTGGCGTTTCCTGACCGTTGGGCGTGATCGGCGAGCACCAGCGATCGTTCGCGAAGCGCGATATCCAGGAGCACGTCGACTACGTGACCACAGATTCGTGCCTATGCTAGGCAACACCTGGTTTAGAAGGAAAACTGCAGAAACATAAAAAAAGTTGGTTGGCGCAGATTTATTGGATCGGCGCTGGACCTTCCTCCAAAGCGCGTGGCGAGATCCGCGCCTGAGGCGCCGCCAGGAGACCCCAACACCGATTCACGAAATCCGCGCGACCCTGGAACGTGTATGCTTATGATTCATGCTTCTTCTTCGAGTTGCCAGACTACAGCGAGCATGCCAGCAGAGCAGGGGCAGATGCCAGAGGCGGCGCAGCCAGCAGGAGGCTTCGCCAACGGAGCACACATCCTTAATGCAGGCGTGTGCTGCAGCCCTCCAAGCTCTAAAAGGGAACGGCGGTTCGGCGCGCGTCCGCGAGCGTGCGCTCCGATCATGTGCTGACTCCAAATGTTTGTTCCTCGATTTCGGCCTCCCTGGGACCATCACACTTGAGCCCAGGGCAGAAAGCCAGCAAGGGGAAAGGTTTGCGACGGCCACGCATTGAACAACTCACATCGTCGATGTCCGTGGGGAGGGGGAGTGGAGTTGTGACCCCAGAAAAGGGCTGGTCGAGTGCAATCGATTGGGACCTTCTGGTGCTAAAACGGGAAGCTCGAATCAGGAGCCATCCCTTACCACCCCCTGCCCTGCTGACTCGGTTCCTTCACCCCTCGCTTGAGCAAGGACTGAACCTCCTGCCATCCCTATACACCCGCCACGCAATGTTCTTAGCATAATTCTTGAATCACGAGAACATGAACCTGCTGTGTTGCAACAGGACGGTCTCAGCCGGACATGTTCTAGGAACATCTCGCGCACACCACAAACAATAGAGGCTATTAGAAGATTTCCTGGTGGGCCTAACTCTGGTAGGCAAGCAAGGACGCTTCGCCACTGCTTGACCCACGCTAGGGAAACGAACAATGACATGAACAGAACAACTTTCAGGTCGCCCCTGGCGCGCTCCACGCGCCAGGGAGGGGGGTCCAGCGCGGATCCGAGAAGTCCGCGCGGACCTCCAAATTTCTATGTGTATGTCATTGTTCGTTCCCCTACGCGCTGCCCCCTCCGTGCGCGCCGCCAGGCTGTGCCTCTGCCTCGCAAAACGGCGGGGGTTGCAGCGACCCCGCCACCCGCCGCGGCGAGGCGGCCAGCAGCGGGGCCGCTCCCGGTAGGGGCTGCAGCGCCTGCGCCGCGGCCTCGTCACCCGCGCCCTCATCGCCCGCGAGGTCCGGCAGCCTCCTCCTGGCTACACGCAGGAGCATAAGAGCCCAGAATCGAATCAAATCGGGAAGTCGGATCGGCGATCGAAACGAATGGGATCGGCGGAAATCGGCAGCCGAATCGTAAAAACAAAATCGGCGGAACTCGGCAGGCTTGTACGCCTTCAATACAAGATCGGAGCCCAAATCGGAATCCCAAGTCGAATCGAAACGGAATCGGAAGCCGTCGAGATCGAATCGAATCGAATCGGAGAAGTCGCGAGATGAGCCCTGCAGGAGTGGCCCCAGGCAAGAGTGACCTTTGGTGCGCGGCGGGGGGCGCGGGGAGGCCAACCCCGAGCGCGCAAGCCGCTGCCATCGCATCGCATGCGGCCAGCTGGGGACCCCGGTGTGCCCGCACAAAGAAAATCACTCCAGCGAGCGCTCACTCTTGTAGCCAATCCTCGGCTGCTGCGGCGACGCCAGCCCTGCGTATCCAGTACACGTCCACATCCACCGCCGAGGGGGCGTGATCCTGGGGACTCGGGGAGCAGTCGACACATGGACATCTGACCGCCCACGCGGGCAGGCAGATGCCCACATGCCCCACGCCTCGAGATCCCAGGGCACGGCTCCGGAGCGGTGTGATGGGTCCATTCCCCACCACCACTACCAGAAGTAGGAGAGGGAGGAGGAGGGGGAGGAGGACGAGGAGGAGGAGGAGAAGGAGAAGTATCTCCTCATCCTCCCCTCCCACCCGTCCTACACATGGTAGTGATGGTGGCAAACGTGCCCATCACGGTGGATGTGGACATATATCTTGGTGGTGGAAGGCCGGCGCCGAGCGGCGAGCCGACCCCGAGGGTCCCCGCGAGGGGTATGAACGTGAAGTGCAGGCCGGGCAGCGCGCCCGGGGCGCCAAGGCCGCCAGCCGGGGCGCCCTGCAGCGGCGCCAGGGACGACCCCAGCGTCAGCGTATCGCTCGGGCCGAGATCCAGCTCTTCGCCTCGGAGGGTCTCGGATTTTGCGGAAAAAAAACACGCCGGAGCGCAAGGTGCGCGGGGGCGCCGCCGGGGGGGCCCAGCGCGGATCCAAGAAATCCGAGCAGAGAGCCAAAAGTTTACGTTCATGATATTTTTCCTTCTTCGGTGTGCTTCAGTGTGTAGACGCTCCAGCGCCCCACAGGTTGGAAAGCTGGGGCCTCTAGACACCGAGCCCCTTGGCCGACGAGACGTCTCGGTGTACTTCGAGCCCCACCCATCGCCTTTGCCGCAAGGGGCGCTGTAGTTCAACACCACGCCCGAGGGCCCGACCACCCGCAGGCGGAAGCGGTAGTCGGGCGGCTCGCTGGAGGCGGGGTTGCTGCGGCGGAGCGCGCGGATGTCGAAGTGGTCCACGTCCAGCGCCGCGGCCCAGCTGCTGCTTGCCAAGAGAGACGGCTGCACGGCCCGCTGCCAGAAGCCGCGCTGGTAGTGCCGGCCCACGCGGAGGCTCGGCAGGGCGGCCTCGCCGACGTCGCAGCAGAAGAACAGCTGCCTCGCCTCCGCCGGCAGGTCCTCGCGAGCGTGCCCGCCGTGGACCTCCAGGCAGAACAGCGCCTCGCTGGGGACCCCCGTGGCCGCCTCCGACGTCCGCCACCTGCCAGCGAGCGTGCCGGCCGGTGGCCGCTGGGCCTCGTCACCGTCCGGCGGCGCCGCCAGGGGCGGCTGCGGCGGGCTGGGCACCTCAGTGGGCCTCGCAAGCGGCAGGGCCGTTTCCTCCTGCCGTTTCCACGGGTGACTGTGCGGGCGGCAGTGTAAACAAAAAGCGGTCCCCGAACCCAGAAAAGAACGCCAGGATCGGGACCAGGACAATAAGAAACGGTGACGGTGGATGGAACGCAGAAGCGGACACCGTGGTATGGTGCGCCGCCCTGGGAGGCGCCCGTCCGAACCGAACGTGTAGCACAAACCTACTCGATTATGCTGTTACCCAGGCGGTATGGCCAGAACGCGCCCGCCACCAAACACCACACGGTTTCCGAGCGCACTCGTCGCTCATGTGAGGGCGACGCGCAAATCATGTCAATACGTTGACACGCGAGGATGCCTTACAACCTGTTTGCGTTGCCGCACTTGCCTTCCCCCCCATTCTTTACTACCGCTCTTACTCCCGCCCCTACCACAATTACCTCGGGCCCAGGTCCCCCTGGAACTCCCCAAATCCATTCCTCGCCCTCTCATTCCCCGTCCTGGACCTCTGCCTCGGCGACCGCGGCGAGTAGAAGCAAGAGGACCCTAGCAAGCCGAGGATTGTGTAAGTCCCACCAGCCCTTTAGGGCGTGAGTGGTTTAGATAGTCCTCTCTGTTCTCAACCCCCTTCTTCCCCTTCGGGGAGGGGTTTACCCCTCCCCCTCCCCCCTCCCCCTGGGCCTGGAGAGGGGGGGCCGCGGGTCGCCGGAGCGTCCTGTGTCGGTCCCTGGGAGGCTCATTTTTTGACACCCCTACAGGGATCGTGGCCCTGGGGGGGGGGGGAAGGGGGGGGGGGCAAATAAGTGCTTTCGTCTTCTTTGGCCGATCTCCTCCAATATGGCCCCAAGAGCGCTCCCAGGGCCCCCAAGAGCACTCCCAAGACGGCTCCAAGACGGCCCAAGAGGGCCCCAAGACGGCCCAAGCGGCGGCCAGTACGGCCCAAGAGGGCCCCAAGACGGCCCCAAGAGCGCCCAAGTAGCGCCCAAGAGCGGCCCAAGAGAGACCCAAGCGGCTCCAAGACCGCCACAACACTGCTCCAAGTGGCCGCGAAGCCTCCCGAGGACGCCCCCGAGAAGCGAAGACGGCCCAAGAGGTCCCCAAGTCGCTCCAAGAGAGCCCCGAGAGGCGCCCTAAGAGGGCCACAAGAAGCCAAAACCATTGATTTTCCGTTGGCGTTTCAAACATTTTAGCGTTCCCGCCCTTTCGGCTTCCCGACGCTCCAAGACAGCCCAAAAGGCATGCAATACCGCCCCAAGACGGCCCAATAGGCTCCCAAGACGGCTCCAAGACGGCCCAAGAGGGCCCCAAGACGGCCCACGCGGCGGCCAATACGGCCCAAGAGGGCCCCAAGACGGCCCCAAGAGCGCCCAAGTGGCGCCCAAGAGCGGCCCAAGAGAGACCCACGAGGCTCCAAGACCGCCGAAAGACGGCTCCAAGTGGCCGCGGAACCTCCCAAGGACGCCCCCGAGAGGCCAAGACGGCCCAAGAGGCCCCCAAAACGCTCCAAGAGAGCCCCGAGAAGCGCCCTAAGAGGGCCCCACGAGGCCAAAATCACATGGGTTCCTTAAGTATTTCATACAGTTTAGCGTTCCCGCCCTTTCGACTTCCCGACGCCCCAAGACAGCCCCAAAGGCCCGCAAGACCGCCCCAAGACGGCCCAAGAGGCTCCCAAGACGGTTCCAAGACGGCCCAAGAGGGCCCCAAGACGGCCCAAGCGGCGGCCAGTACGGCCCAAGAGGGCCCCAAGACGGCCCCAAGAGCGCCCAAGTTGCGCCCAAGAGCGGCCCAAGAGAGACCCAAGCGGCTCCAAGACCGCCACAACACTGCTCCAAGTGGCCGCGAAGCCTCCCGAGGACGCCCCCGAGAAGCGAAGACGGCCCAAGAGGTCCCCAAGTAGTCGAAAACAAGCTGGTAAGCTTAGGTATGTGTTACGCTTTAAGCGTTGCCATATCCCAGGCTTAGGCTCATATCGCATGAGCAAGAGTGCAAGACGAAGCATGGGATCTGGAGTAAAGGATAGGATGGGCATCGTCAATGGAAAAGGGATTTTCCGATCTCTGATGCAAGTAGTGCGCCTCGGTGAGGCACAGTCACATATTTGGCCGGGCCCGGCTTGAGCCAGGCACGGCAGCGGTACATGCTCGATTTATACCTCGCCTTTAACCTTCTCCGTTTAAAGTCGGAGGGGGAGGAGACGAGCAGGTACCGCACTTCTACATCATGCGGAAAAAACAGTGCTAAGCAGCAGCGGCTGCCTACAAGGAAAGGGCGCGCGAGTAGCCTCGCTACCGGCGAGTTTCCTCGCTACTAAAGCGCACCTGCCCGCGGGTTTCCCCGCTGGCTCGGTAGGCAGGGCCGTCCTGAGACGACCTGCCCGCCCTATACGGCTATGTTTCTTCAGCCGTGCTTGTAAGGATTGCTGGCCGCCATATACATGTAGGAAAAAGAAAAAAAGAAAAAAATAAGAAAAAACAAAAAAAAAAAGAAAAATAAAAAAAAACAAAAAAAAAGAAAAAAAAAAAATACAAAAACGAAAAATAGAAAAAAAAATACAAAAAAAAAAAAACAAAAATATAAAAAGACAAAATACCAACCAAGCACGAACGAAAACCAAAACGCAAAAGAACGCGCGGTCAATACTACCTTTGATATGACCATCGGCAGTCATATCCCGCGTGTCACACCATTGAACGCTTTCAACGATTCCGCGCTCCATCATCTGGCGGATCCAGCTAATGTGCCCAAGCAGAGTACATTCTGTGGGCTTCTTCAGATCTTTGCAAGACAAAGACTTGAAGACAGACTCGGCATCAATAGTCAGAGTGACTTTGATACATAGACCACCCATTTCCAATATGTTCTTTAACTGTGTGGGGGTCAATGGTCCCGAGTGTAGCTCGTGGAGCGTTACAATGGACGGGTAGCAGTCTTCCAAGTTGTGGGCTGCTGCCAGTGTTTCCGCAGAGTAGCTCGAACGCACCTGCAGTCGATGAGACTTGCAGTATGCGTCCACCAGGTGTACGACGGGTTTCCCCGCTTGCGTGTGGCCACGCCTCAGCAGGTTAGCCCCGCGGATACCATAGCCTTTGACTTCGTCGTCTTCATCTCCGTTGAGACGACGATAGCCAGAATCGCTATGCATGTCGACTTCTCCTGTTGGGGTCATAGCTTGATACACGATCTTCTTCGGACCTGCCTGTAGCTTTCTGGTAACCGCGTTTAGTCGTCGTACCTGGATGTTTGTCGGTTCCTGGATACGCTGTAGTGAGACAACATAGACCATCAGCCATACCTGCGTGATCAACGCATAGGCTAGAGCGCCACGAAGACTGACGAACATATCAGAAATCGTCTTTGTCGCTTTGCTCTCAGGATCAGCTCCTGTGAGTTCTGGATGTGTGATAGGACGAAGCTGTTTGATGTATTCGTCCTGATCGAGAGTGACGCTCCCATCATCGGTCTTGTTGTACCGAACGGCACAGTTTGTGTATGTGTGCTTGTTCAGTTTGCACTTCCCAAACGTATCTTCAACACACTTGACATACTTGTCAATAGCCTCTTCCTTCCCAGTCATATTGATGTCATCAACGTGCTTGGCTGTCAAGAGGTTTGGGCTCATCTCGAACTCTTCGTCGTATGAAGTAGGCTGTAGCCCAAAGCTCCTAGTGATGGACCTGAGCTTCAGCGAGAATGCCCTGGGAGCATCCTTCGTGCCCGTCCCCGGTTTCAGACACCGGAGACAATGCTTTGATTCGTCATATGACTCAAAGCCTGGCAGTGTGCGAAGGACAGCTGCTGACCCAGGTGGTAGTGTGAAGCACACCACACGCTCTTTCTCGCCCGTTGCCGCGGCGAGCTCGCCATAGGTCAGTCCCTTCAAGAAAGCCATGTTGATGTCCAGGGAAGCGATGATCCAAGCTTTGTTGCATGCAGCAGAACTTGCGAGCAGTCTCTGGCTTGACCTCCTTGCCGTGCCAGAGAAGGTTTCGACATCAAAGGCTTCAAGGTCCATGAAGCCACGGAGTACCAAGCGTAACCGATCGTCCTTTCCATTTCGCCCTTTTCGTTCTTGACAAACTTCCATTTGTATACGTAGCGTGACGTCATGATGTTAGACGCCTTGCTTAAGTCAGTCATCTGGAAGCATTTGTTGTCAAGCCAAGTCTTCAATTCTGTGTAGAGGGCTTTGGAAACTTTGACCGGATTTGCTTGGATGTCGGCCTTCGTGAGTAGATCGTCTTCCTTGACGACCACGGCACGTTTGGAGGCAGCGCTAACGTATACTCGCATAGTTGTGACGCTGCTGTCATCCAACAATCGGTGTTGCTGCTCGGACAGGACGACTTTGGACATGTCTGCAGTGAAGCAAAGCTCGATGTACTTCCCGTGCTCATCGGAGTCCAGATCATATTTGCTATCCGGATCCGTGGAGCATAAAGGAACGTAGTAAGAAGTGTCCATGTCGTATCCTGGCGGGTGACCCCGCTCCGGCAAGTGGCCTTGCACATCTTCACAGGTCGTAGAGACTAACACACACTGTGTGACTGTCATGTATGTGGGAACTGTATGCATGACTTCCTCTGTGTCAGCTTCAAGGAGTGTTCTGTCATCCATCAGTTCAGCATACCACGACTTCAAGACAACAGCATCCAGATCTTCTTCTGTTTCCTCTATGATGGTCGGGAGCCGACCATCGTTATCCGTAGGAGGCTCCTCAGGAGCAGCTGCTGGAGGTGATTCGCTTGGTGGTGGACCATCAGCGAGTTCCTCAAACTTAGAGAGGTCTTGGTCAAATCCAGCAGACGGCTTCCTGGATTTAAGACACTGGATGATGCGTGAGTGTGTAGATCCTGTGATGTCATAGATGTTCAAGGCAGTGCCATCAGCTTCATAGTAATGAAAACCAGGGGTCACATCATTATCATAGTGCACTAGTGTACAGCTGTCGGCATAGGGTGCAGCAGGCAACTTCGTCAGGCTCTTGGCA